TAGAAACCAACCTCACATGGTTCGGGGGGCATGCTGTGGTTGTGCGTTTATGCCTACTAATTTTGTTTGCTTGGCCCTCTGATTGGTGAAAGTGGGCCAATTAAGTTTAATCTTGCCTGGGTGGTCGAAATACAAATTTGCCGGATGATGAACAGTGACTACTACCGCCCAGGAGACTGTGCTTGTGCGTGATTGTGGGGCTGCAACAAAAATGAATGAATGTTTGGGTTTACCAAAAAAGGCAAACTTGGGCGGACGGATGTGGAACATATCATAAGATAAGCTGGTTTCAGTGCTAATTCAAGAAATTCATTAGGTTAATCAGTTGTGTAATAAGATGTCCGATTGCATTGTGATCGGTGAAAAGCTCATCAACTACCAAAATGGTGGTTGTTTTTGACAAACAATGATTTCAAGAAGAAAGAGGGCCGGTTCATTACACATTGTAATTAAGGTAGATAAATAATTCGCGACAGCGGCGCTCCTTTGTTTTTCAGAACGCTCCTAGATACATTGGGACTAACCCTGCCACTAAAACCCTGAGTCTGCCACTAAAACCATGAGTCAAACCACTTTCCAGAACTCTGCCACTAAAACACTGAGTCTTTCATCGTCTCGTTCAGAGCGTTGGCCATGGTGTCTAATCCTTCCAGCTGCAGGGGAGCGGTGTTGCCTTCCATGTGCATCAACTCGATAAGGAGTGCGTCCCTTTCGTTGGCAATAGCTCCCTGTGTATATGGCCAGCCATAAAATTAGTTTTGTCTCGTTGGTTGAAGGTATCTATTTGGTACGTTTTCACTGACCCTGGTAAGTGGTTTGGCCAGTGAATTCCCTTTGAAGTGCCTTAGTAGGTGGACGACACACATGGCACTCTCGGGCCTGGGGACAAAAACGCATCGTGAAAAATAACAGTGTGTCCAGCGGGCATGAATACCATGAAACTATATTGCGAACCAACTGAGTGAACCAAGATCATTAAGCATTTTCTGATCCGGTATGTGTTCCTTGTGAATGTTGTGGTAGACAGTAGAGGTGTCTTCTTCGTCCATGACAGTCTGCTGCAGTGCCATTCAGTGAAGAATTCTTCGATGCAATTGAAAAGGGCATCATGTATCTTATCGGCCGCGTACATAAGGCAAGTTTTGCGTGATGTGTCCTCCGTTTGGTATGCCATTGGGTCCATTATGGTTATCGCGTGGGCCATCATGTCCCAGTTGAAGCAGCACCACCCATGTTGCATGACGGCTGGGATTGTAACCTGTTACGGTTGGTGAGAATGGAAAAGTGGCTTCTGTCAAGCAGCAACTTTGCTTTGGTACTGATGTATATTTGACCAATGTAGGAACACAACTACTGGAAATGAGAAAAAATACTGGGACCTTACCATCCGACAGTTTGCGATGTTGCACTTCACTCCAATGAATTGTCTCTGTATTGACATGATTCTTGTGGTGTTTTCCCCTGCAATGGCATGACACTGGCACGACGGCCCATAAAAAGGATCGAGGTTAGTATATGTCTATGACTGACCAGATGTAGGCAACGTGATGAATTTGACTTTTCGTACCGCAAAATCGGGCTCGAGAAGCAAACGGTATTGTTCAACAGGGCTGGCACGGTGCGCATGTGATTCCATCTGCCCAATTCGACGGACGATCAGGAACCCAAGCTCGTGGTCAAGTTCAGAACCATCGCATAATTGCGACTTGATGGCACTGCCGCTGACCGAAATAATCCGTGGGTCGGGGTGTGAAACCCAATCCCTGATAAAAAAATGTGGGGGAAATGATTATTGGCTTTATGAACTTGAGGTGCCAGGCTGGTCGCGCCTGCCACCCTTGCTTATATTGGGGTAGTACCTGCTGGAGCTTGTGGGTTACCTTGCTAGATCATAGGGTGTTCTGGATCGCATCCATTCCCTGGTGGCTCTTAGTACGCCAGCCACGTGTATGCGCACCATCCAGTTACTGGACCATGGGTCTTTTGTGAACCCGGTGTGAGCAACTTTGATCTTTGTTATAGCCGTGTCGCTCACTTGACCGAATACAATGTGTCCCTTTGTGTCTCCTATCTCATCGTTGAGCATCATTAGCTGACCCACTAGGTGGTCGGAGTGTGTCTTTGTCGCCAAATTAGGCGAAATCGGGGTGGCCTTCCCGCCTTCTTGATAGGCGTACTGGCTTCGTTGCGGTCGTCTATGTCCAGTTCGAATGATGGTGCGTCTATGAGCATTGGTGATTTAATTGCATCAATATACTTGCATTGGGTTTACATATAAGCACTGCATAACAGAAAAAATGGGTACAGAAAAAATTGGCGACCTATTACCTGGCGCGTCGTCTATCCTTGGTCGTCTTTGACCCCTAGTAGGTGTTGTGGAGAAGTGGTCGGCGGTGGGCAAGACCACTGGTTTAGCGCGTTTTACGGGGGTTGGGGATGGAGATGACAACTCCAGCCTTCTTCCAACTATGTGCTGGGGGAGTTTGCTAGGTGCTTCTACATTGTGTGGCCCTGCATAACAACACTTGAAACTTCAGACATGTATGCGGAAATGGACCGGTATTTTTTTTATTGACCACGGGCGGGGGTGGGAGGGGGCTTGGTGGAGAGTACCTGAGCCGCCGACACCTTTTATGGTTCCGGAAGCGCGATCAGCTGGATTAGGTGCCGGTGTTCCCGAAATTGGTCTTGCAAAACAAACTTCGAGCAGTTTTTTCGTGAATCGAATGTTCTCACTTGCAATGTTCCTTTTCATTTCGTTTGCGATATGCACGCACTTGGCGTTGTGCTCTTTTAGTGCCCATCCTAGTGGAGAAGCAGCCTGCAATGTAGATAGACTCTCAGTTATTATGGAAGACTAGATCGCAAACAGGATAGCAGTCTCCACATGAAAAAAAATTGCTTTGATGTGTGTTGGGTGTGGACTTGTATCTCACCAGCTCTGGGTTTTGCATCTGGATCCAACGAGCGTAACCCCCGGGGCTGAACTCGACGTTGCTTCTTTTTGTCTGTGCAAGGTTGCTTACAGCTGTGTCCGTGTTGATATAGTCTCCCCGTCGAGTGCTGTCTGGGTTGTGTCTGACTAGTGCATACTGATTTGCTGAGCCGTCAGCATTTTGCTCCATTGATTTCTTCTTGGCATGCTTCTCGTTTATGTAGTTGTGCCATGTGTAGCACGTGGCATTCCAGTGTCTTGCCTGCATTCGCAATCTGAATGTTTAGTGCGTGTCGTGATCTAATCGTTGTAGTTAAACGGAAAGTTTGCGGTTACCTCGGGGACTATGAAGATGGTTTTCCCTAGCTTTCTTGCTGAGCACATGAGGATCATCCGTTTCAGGGTCTCCCCGTCGAATAAATTTATCCGTGGAATTGTGGTCTGCTTTCATTATCCCCAGTTCAACATTGTCTAGTACGAACGCCTGTCGACATAAAAAAACCATGTAAAAAAGTTAGTTCGGAGCTTCAAACAAGACCAAAAAACACGTGTTCCCATCGTTTCCCAAAATTGTCTAGTTCAACATTTTATTTGCCATATCCAAAATGTGAAAATTAAGGGATTTACCTGCAGAAAAAGGTGACAACCAGAGAGGTGGTTGGGTGTTATGTGTGCATCCGTTTCCAACTTCAGTCTGCGAACTGCTTCCAGTAAAAAATTGACTGAATATTTGCACCAATTGAAGAGGGAGATGTTTTCTGCATCCTTGATGGCGCCCCAGTAGTCGATGGTCGAGTGGTCGTGTTTGGTGCACGGCGCGAACAGATTTCCCATCACAAAGACAACAAACGCCATCTTGAAAGAATCCTTCTCTAGTCGGCTGGATAGTTCGTTTATTTCCTTGCCGATGAACGCTTCAAGCGAGCTTAGGCTGCGATCAGATTTCTCAGTCCAACCTATAGAGTTCCTAATGAACTCGATTGCTTCAGGTGTGATGTCTGCATCTTTGCCGTTGATGTCTCACTGCCCGCATGGGATACCGAACACTTTGTGGAAATCCTCTGGATAGAATGTAATTCGCGTTCCGCCATCTCTCAGTATGATGCAATGCTTTTCCACAACCACCTTGGTCATTAGGAACTTGCTAAACTTCAGATTGATTTTCTGGATCATGGGGATACGTAGTACACCCTCAAATCCAATCTCCTCAACTAGGAATCTTTTGTAATCTGACAATGCAGCTACCACCTCTATTAATTTCTGAATAGCTATCCTAGATGTGTGTTTAGTTGACCTGCTTGTTGATCCCGACGGAGCTGCTGCTTCTCCTTCTTCGATCGGCTGCTCTCTCTCTCTTCCATGGCCGGTGGGGACTGAATCTCCCGTCTGAGATGTTGTTCTTCTTCTTCCATCGAGCTGTGAGAACACCTACAGGGGGGCGCGGGTGGGTGGGGTGCAGGGAGGGGTGAGTATTTCAGCAAGATTTTGATTGATGTGCCGGAGACCTGAGATGTGGATCAGAAC